GTGCTGGGTTAGTGTAAGATAATATTCTAAAGTTAATGTCCCAGTCCCTACTATTGGGAATACTCATCTATTTACTTTAGGAGTTGTTTTTTTTTCTATTTTGAAATAGGGTAAGGTCTCTTCTTATATGCAAGATTTCATGTTGTTACAGTCTACTCAGAAAGAAAATTATGGGAAATAAAACTTCTACCCGCCCCCACCCCCCAAGTTTTTCCTCCTAGAAGGGCCTGAACTGCAGAAGTGCCCTCAAGGAAGGGGGCCACTCCCACTTTGTAAAGTCTTTGGTAACTTAAAACTTTGGTTCTGCTGGTTTAAATAGCAGAAATTATTAAATATCTAGGTATTTTGAAATAACAGGATACTGAAATATTAATTAATCTGAGTTTGCCTACTTTTGACCTTTTATTACAGAAAAGCTAGAAAATACACTTGAAACTGTTAGTGAATGTTTTATAATAGAAATATGTCTCTCAAAAGTGTAAATATACTTGCCAATCTAAATAATGCTGTTTACTTTTTAGTGATCACCTAAAAATTAAGGTTTCTGAGAATTAAGAAGTCTAACCAATTGGAAAGAAATTATATAGTTTTGGTAATAGAAAGAATGAGGCATGAAGATACATTTTGAAGAAAAAAAGAAAGTGAGTTCTAAAGCTGGTTATTTCTGAATACCTAAGAAGGTTTGTGAAAGTTGTAGAAAGGTTTGTGAAAGTTATGGAAGGGTTGTGAAGAAAAATATTAAAAGGAAATTATAGATAATCTGAATAATAAATTTAATTTCATAAATGAGTCTAAAGTAAGCTAATACAGAATTTGTTTACTCTTCTCTAGTCTGTTAAAAGGTAAAAAAAAAAAAAAAAAAAGGTCTTTCCTGTTTTTTCCCAGGAAGCAAAAGTTCTATAAATTATGGCAATGGTTATATATTATGTTATATTAATCAGGTACATGATTGCTTAAAAAGTCTACCTTCTTAATTGTGGGAACTGAAGTTTTGCTAGACTATGGTTGTGTTTAATACCTTTTGTCACTTTGACTGAATAATAATACTGTTGAATAATAATAATAATAAGGATGATATATAACCTTTTGGTAAAATAAGTTTGGCAACCTTCCCAGGGTTTGAATTTTAAGAAACTTTTCTTGACCTGGAATTGGCTTTAGGTCATTCCAATTGGCCCTTGAATGCCTCAAGGATTTGTTTTATCTCTTTATGAAGGAAAATTTTCTGCTTAAGGTACATGGGAAGCTTTGTCAAATAAAGAAATAATAATTCTGGTATAATTTCATTGATAACTTAATTGTTATTCTGAAATATTGTGTCATTTCATTTATTTATTTATCCTTTTTAAAGATATATATTTTTATTGATTTCAGAGAGGAAGAGAGAGAGTGAGAAAGAGAGAAAGAGAGAGAGAGAGAGATCAATGATGAGAGAGAATCATTGATCAGCTTCCTCCTGTATGCTCCCACAGTGGGGTTCAAGCTCACAACCTGGGCATATGCCCTGACGGGGAATTGAACCGCAACCTCCTGGTTCATAGGTCGACACTCAACCACTGAGCCATGCCAAACAGGCTTAAATATTGTGTCATTTTAAATTTCTTCTTGTCATTTAGAGACAGTCACTGTTTTGTTATGATGCATTTGGAAAAATGTTACATCTTCCGAGGGATCCATGGAAAGGACTCTGACATTTTCAGATCATCCCCTTCTAATTGGATGAAAATTATTAGAACTCTACAGAGTATCTGGATTTATAGAAGTATTGGCAGAAAAAAATCAGGAGAAACAAAAAAATGATTGTGGGACTGAATGAACAGAAAAGAATTATATATTTTTTGTGGAAAATATTGCTGATTTTTAATCTTTTTTGTTTTTCAGACATAAGGAAACTTGATTCTTTTCTTAAAGCAATTTGGTAAATTATGTATTTTTCTCCGTACCTTATCCCTCCAGAATTTGGCAATTCTTACTAAGTGAGTTATGGCAAGATGCTTCGTTGCATGAATTCTATAAGACCTGTTTCTAATTGTGTTTTATGAACCAAGACTGACTGGAATGTCATGTCTGAAAGAGAAATGCCTGGACTCTGGATGTCACCAGAAAGCTTTAAGGAATGAAGACTAACTTTGAAGCCAATAAGTGAACCTTGGAGAAATAGCCTGATACCTTGCTTGGTCAGTGGTTCATGGCAGTCTTTCCAGGTAAGGAACAAAAGTTGCTTTCCTGAGAGATGGCAATGAAGGAACCTCAAGGCATATTGGGAACCTCAAGAATGTGAGGAAATTCACCCAAGTCAACAGGTACTGCAGGAAAACCTGATGGCACCTAAGTGGCTCACTGTCTTTGCCCTGGGGGGATAATTAAAACTCAGTCATGAAACTCCAGCAAATAATTTTTTTAAAAAACTTATATGATCAATTGCTATTCTTATTGTGTTCATGTAAGTGATCAGGCCAAATTGAAACTAGACTTAATACAATAAATCATTTGGTCTTAGTTTGGCTCCTTAATAAAGATGAGGGTGATTTTTTTTTTGGGGGGGGGGGAATTGTGTTTCAGTAGATTCTATAAGACACAATTGTGAATATTAGACTCAAAACTTTATTTTTAACCTATGAATTAAACTGGGTCCTGAATTTATCTCTAGCTTTTACCCCAATAATACAAAAATTTATAACAAAGTTTGTCTCCACCAGATTACAAGCCCTACTTGTACTCAAGGAATACCACCTCTAGACACCATTGCCACCTCCTTCCATGCCCAGGCTTCATTGTACCGCTGACAGAGAGCAAGGATCTCTTGGCTCAGAAAGAAAACTTCATCCCTCTTCAGCTTGAAACAGCTACAGAAGAAACCCTGTGCCCCTTTTCTCTGAAAGAATTCAGAGCAGGATCCTTGAAGGGGGATGTGGTAGTCAGACAGACACGAGCAGAGCAAAGACGATAGGCCAACTGGGGTAGAAATGGATGGGACCCTGAGACATGTATCTCATCACTCCAACTGCTCTGAAGCTGGCAATTGAGGAACCTATGTAGAATAGAACTTGACATTTTGCCAAGTAGGAGTTGGGATACCTATTGTTAATATATTGAATTATACTCATTCTACTTATTTTGGGAGGAAAGTCATATACTGGGATCTTTGTTTGTTGGGACCCATTGTTTGGGAAAAGGATGCCGGGATGTTTTCTCTAAAGGTTACTGCAGTAGTTACCTGAGGCGAATGTGAGACATTTTACTGGGAATGCTTCAGTATCTAATAACTACAATATTAATTGTTCTGATAATTACACAATCCCTTATAATAATGGACATACTAAGCTGCCAGCTGGTTGTTTTCTGATATGGGGGGTAACTACCTATTCATATATCCATGCTAACAGCACCTGTTCCTTAGGATGACTGACTGTCTTTATGACTCAGAAACATCACAGGGCCCCAACCAAAAAGACCTTCTCACAGCTGTGGCACCAGACTGCAACAATAATCTCCATCTGTGGAGCCCTGCTGAATATCTTTCTTTAAACATTTTGGTAATGGTAGGCTCCTTTAATGTAGAAGTGACCTGGCTGGCTTGAACATGGTAAAAGCTCCAAATGCCACTTCCAGGGCTATTCAAGGGATAAATTGAGAGCTGAGAAATATCAGGGAGCAGTTCTAGAGAATTGGGCAGCAATAGATTATTTGTTGTTGTGGCATAAACACAGTTGTGAGGAATTGAAAGAAATGTTCTGTTTTAATCTTTCTGACAATTCTCAATTGATAGAAAACAACATTTATCAAATTAGGGAAACCATCTTCAAGATTGTACATTCGCTGTATTCTATCCCTGGGAACTGCTTTCAAGGCAAAAGCAAACATAGTCCAGCAGGATGAGATTTTTCATCTAAACCTAATCTCATATATATGAGATGATAAAAAAAAAACCCCAAAACCAGTGGGGAATGTTAGGGGTAGAAACATAATATTGGGGGACTAGCTATTAGTTATAAGAAATAAAATAAGAAATATTAATCATGCTCTGTAAACCATGATTGTTTTGTTCTGATTAAAGAAAGGACATTCTAACTTGTCTGGGAATTGTACACCCCAGGACATGGGAGTTAACATTGGAACTGGAATGCAGTTCATCCTCCTACCCAAGAACTGCCTGTCATTATGGAAATATATACAACCTTGTGGCTGAAACAATCTAGTCTGGGAGGCACCTGCTCTTTCCAACCCCAGCCCCCTATTACCTATAATCTGGTCCCGGAGAGTCCGGAGGTGCCTGCCCTCTTGTGACCGCCCTCCCCCTGCTCCATGCCTGCATGACTTATAACCTGTAACGATTATCCCATGCCTACTTTTCCATGCCTGTAATTCCTACTTCCCCACATAATCTTTGTCCTTCTACCCAAAATAAGCAGCTGGCTTATGGTGGGTTGAAGAGTAGATTTTTGTGGATGACCTGCTGCTCTCACATACTGTGAGCATTATTGGAATAATCGCTCATATATAATTCAACCCTGCCTCTGCTTAATTGGTTGAAGTAGCGACAGGCAACCTGGACTCTTCGGTTGTCCAGTTACAAAGTCACTGTGCTTGAATATGGCACAGTATTTTCTAGTTATAATATTCATATAATCATTTAATTGAGAACATTTTATCAAACATAATATGATCTTGTGTTAGACTCTAAGAATAATGGAAAATATTCAATATGAAATACAAATATATTTAAATACACAATTATTTTAAAATTATTTTTGATGATGCTTTACTAGAAATGAATTATAGTCATGTAGGTTTCTGTTGTTGTTTTATTTTTATTGTTGAAAGTATTACAGATGTCCTCTTTTTTTCCTCATTGTACCCTTCTAGCCCACACCTGCCCTTGACCCCAAGCCTTCCACCACACTATTGTCTGTGTTTGTGAGTTATGCATATATGCTTACAAGTTCTTTAGTTAAAGAACAATTAAAATAAAGAGTAATACTAACATGTTATGTTCTTACCCCTATTGTTCCAAAGCTTTCTGGTTTTCTTCTTATCTTTTTCTTGCACAGGTGTGTCCATATCCATTTGATCAGGTACCAAAGAGATTTGGGGCTCGGAATGACATTGAAGGGAGTAGGCAGGGTACCTCCTTCTTCAAAATAACTCATCCAAAGCTTTGTTCGAGCAAATTTCCATTCTATATCTGCATGGTCCTGAAGAGAAGAACATGATAACTGTTGACAGGTTTCTTAATTATTAATGTCAGATAAACATCACAGAGAGCCTGTAACCTGACTTGGGTAGCTCTTGGAACATTAATTACTCATGAAAACACTGCTGACTCTTGGAGATAGTCATCTAAACATTTCAGATGATGGCTTATACTGGTAAGAGTCACAGCTTTCTTGTAACTTTTTATCCTTCCCTCTTCCCTGAAACAGACATCTAAAATAATTCCATGTTACAGAGACTACAGTGATTATTTATGCCTTGAGGATGAATTTTAATTTCCTGCATTGCAGGTTTCTATTAGCTCAGTTTCATTAGATTCTGGCTACAAACAGGGCTTTATGTACTATCCAAGACTTTGAACCCCTACTTATGTGAATGTCACCCTCATGGCTGCTCATGGCTTAGCCTCCTGGTATTTCTAGGAAAAGTCTTATTTAATATATTTCCATGTGAATAATTAGTGACCACCTTTAGGGAACAGACATAAACTCAGAGAGTAGTTCCTCTAACAAATGTAGAGTTGGGACTATGACACAACATTGAACCTTGACTTAATCCTGGCCAAATGGCACCAGATAGGAGTATGACTGGTGGTTGCCCACAAGCCTGAGGTTATCCTTCATTATCATTTATTTATCATTCTACTAGAGGTCTGGTGCATGAAATTTTTGCATGTTAAGGGTCCCTAGGCCTAGCTGGCGATCAGGGCCGATCTCTGGGGTGACCAGTGGGGCGATCAGGGGGCCCCGCTGGCACCCGCCTTGGCTGATCTGGGACATGCCAGGTTGGGGGCAGCTCCTGCATTGAGAGTCTGCCCCCCTGATGGTCAGTGCACATTATACCAACAGGTTGTTCCACCATTTGGTCAATTTGCATATTAGGCTTTATTATATAGGATTTTATTATCTCCTGAGAAAACTTAGGAATATTTATGGCAACTAGATAGAGAGCAGCCATGCTCCTCTTGAATTAGCCATAAATTGAATTAAGTAGACAATCTGGGAAGTAGGAAGTGCTAGAAACTAGGTATACATACAGTTAAATAATTCAAAATAATTCATTTTAACCCATTACTATTATAAAAAGGAACTCAGATTTTGGAGTAAGATAATATTATACTATACATCATTCCAATATTAAAAAATTGCCAGGTGCCAATGAATGCATAGGTTGTATATATCTTTCTACTATGAACAATATATACTTTAGTCTAGGCCAGGAGTGGGCAAACTTTTTGACTCGAGGGCCACAATGGGTTCTTAAACTGGACTGGAGGGCCGGAACAAAAGCATAGATGGAGTGTTTGTGTGAACTAATATAAATTCAAAGTAAACATCATTACATAAAGGGGTACGGTCTTTTTTTTTTTTTAGTTTTATTCATTTCAAAAGGTCCGATCCGGCCCACGGGCCGTAGTTTGCCCACGGCTGGCTAGGCACTGGACAAATTGTGCTTTCAATAGGAATCACTATATTGGGAAAATGCATGGCCTCCATTGTTGCTTAGCAATTGTCTGATTGGAGGCTTCAATCATTAGATGGAAGCACAGAAGCTATAGTTTCCCACGCATTTTCCTTCCTGTTCCTCTCCTCTAGTTTCCTCTTTTTTTTTACTTTCTTTCTAAACAAGCTTATGGATGCTAATGTAATGAAGAAAAGTATATTCGTTTGCTGCAGTTATGGAGAATGGGATTCAATAGAATCTGCTTAAGATAATAAAAAAGTGGTCACCTAAAGTATTGGCTTAGCCTGGCCAGTATGGCTCAGTGATTGAGTGTCAACCCGTGGACCAAGAGGTCACCAGTTCAATTCTTGGCCAGAGCACATGTCAGTTATGGGTTCAGTGTCTAGCACTTCCTACTTCCCAGATTGTCTACTTAATTCAATTTATGGCTAATTCAAGAGGAGAATGGCTGCTCTCTAACTAGTTGCCATAAATATTCCTAAGAGGCAGCTGATCAATGATTCTCTTTCATCTTGATGTTTCTATCCCTTTCCCTTCCTCCCTTCAATAAAACATATTTTAAAAATAAATAAATAAATAAATTATTGGCTTATGAGTAGCTTCTGATCCTCCTGATTCTTAAGGATTCATATATTAAGTGTTATCGTGATTTCATTATGCTATTTTACTACTAAACAAAGCCTGTGATTCTGAAAGAGTCTACACAAAGTCTCCAATGCTTAGAAAAACTGGAACAGTTGATAGATATGTATTTATTGCCATTTTATTGTTCATATTATTGACCATCTTCTTCAAGAAGACCCTTCAACCTTTCATACAATTCTGGTTTGGTGGTAATGAGCTTCTTTAGCTTTTTCTTGTCTGGGAAACTTTATCATCAATTTTAATGATAGCTTTGCAGGTTAGAGTAATCTTGGTTGTAGGCCCTTGCTTTCATCACTTTGAATATTACTTGCCACTCCCTTCTAGCCTGCAAAGTTTATTTTGAGAAATCAGCTGAAAGTCTTATTGGTCTCACTTATAGGTAACTGTTTCCTCTTGCTGCTTTGAGGATTCTATCTTTGTCTTTAACTTTTTGCATTTTAATTACAATGTGTCTTGGTGTGGGCTTCTTTAGGTTCATCTTGTTTGGGACTCTCTGCACTTCCTGGGTTTATATGTATGTTTTCTTCTCCAAGTTATGGAAGTTTTCTGTTATTATTTTTTCAAATAGGTTTTCAATTTCTTGCTCTCACTGTTCTCCTTTCACTCCCCCATGATGTGAATGTCAGTACACTTAAAGTTGTCCCAATGGCAATAAATACATATTGATCAACAATTGAATTGACAAACAAAATGAATAAGCAGAACAGAAACAGACTCATGGATACAGAGATATTTTTGTTGGTTGCTAGATGGGAGGGTTTGGGGGACTGGGCAATAAAGGTTAAGTGATTAAGATGTACTAATTAGTTGTTACAGAGTACCCATGGGGATGCAAAGTACAGCATAGGGAATATAATCAATAATATTTTAATAACTAACTCTGGTGCTGAATGAGTATGGGATTTATTGGGGTGATAACTTATTAAATTATGTAATGTCTGGTCACTGGGGTGTATACTTGCAACTAATTTAATGATATATGTAAACTGTAATTGAAAGTAAAAAAAAAGAAAAACTGGAACTGAACTATGATGGTGATGACTAAAAACCACTTACTGCTACCCATCTTCTAACCTAGTCAATATTTAAGGCTTCACTTAGCTATTTGCTCTCATAGGAAGCCTTCCCCAACCACCATCAATCTCAGCTGCCTCCCACCCCAGCATGCATGGTCCTTCTCTTCTGTACTTTCATCACATTAGCAAATCCATTTTCTCAATATTGAAATCATTTACTTATTTTATCCCTACTACATCACATTTTTCTTGAGGGCAGAGACTTCCTTATTCTGTGTATCCCTAAAAGCAAGCATATATTTGGCATATATTAGATGCACAATAAATATTTGTTTAAAGAATACATGAGTAAATAAGAAACAGGCTTTAGATATGGCCTACATGATTGCTTTTGCCTTTTAACCATTAAACTTTATTATTTTTAAAATACTTTATCTTAAAGCTCTGAGTTAGGACTAGCAGGACAAAAGAAAAAGCCCTCAGGGTAAATTCTGGTATTTTAGGACAGGAGGAAATAAAATAGTTGGCATGTTCATGCTCCAAGGAGGCATCATATGCAGGATCCTTGAAAGGACACCTGGTTCAGCTTCTGAGTGCCTGGTCTCCTCTCAAGTAGTTTTAGTATTTGGGTTAAACAAAAATAGAGATTTGAAGCTTATTTTCATCTATGTAAAAAGTAACACTCCACAAAGAAGCAAAAAGAAATGTCATACTATTCTTGAATAGTGTTCTCTTCCTAAACTCCATACACCATACATGTTTTATAGAATCCAAATTGTATATACAGCTTCTCTGTCTATAGCTTTATAATTAGAGGTTTTCTAATGTTTTTGAAGGGGTAGTTTGGAAAATAGAATTCACAGTAGGAAAATGTGTTAACTAGAAGAATACAGAAGTTCTGATACAAATATATAGGGAGTATCTAAAAATTTTTAGATTTGTAAGATGTTTAAATAAAGCTCCACAAATTTTGCTATTAACATGTAAATCCCAGGACCTAGGTACATGCACATGGGAATATGTTAGACTGAATCAGTAAATGAAAATATTTTTTCTTATATTTATGCAGTTTTTCTTCTGTGACAGGTTTAAGTAAAATTCATAATGTTGCCTCTCAAAATAACAATAATAACATTTCAGAGTTTTAGCAATAAATTCCAAAATGCAATATAATTGTAGTTATTTATGGAGAAACTGAGAAGCCTATAATTATCCTTATAAAATGATACTTGTCTAAATATTAAAGACTTAAAAACATTTCATTCCAGCATGATTTACTTTATTACAATTGTGTTTGGCTATAGATATACATGTAAGCTCTAGGGGATAAAGGGCTTTATCTTTGTTGTTCGTTGCTGTATTTCTAGTTCCTAGAATAGTACCTGGCATCAGAGTAAGTATTCAATAAGAATTTGTAGAATGAATGAATAAATAAGTTAAACTAAGTGTTTGGATTCCAGATTCAATATACAATATACAATATTGAATATGCAATATATACAGAATAGACAATATTCTGCTACAGAATTCAGGGTTATACTTATATTGCTTTTGCTAGGCTTTAAGAAACTAAAAATCCTGTGACTTTTTCCCTCAGATTCTCCTCTGGACTATTTTTTGTATCTTGCCAAGCTGGCCTGAGTTTGCTTATATCAAGATTGTAGGTTAAATGGAAAGACACAATGCAAATTCCAAAGGACACTTACCTGTTGCTTGCCATAGCTATAATGACTACCTGGAAGGATAAATGTAGTTTATTTTATAATCATGTGTAAAACATTAGAGTAGTATATAGCTAAATATGGTGAATACTGCTTAGAAACTTCAAATTAACCATTTATATTATACTTTTGTCTTATCAATAGCCAATTCCAAACCTTATTTACAATGATGATGAACAATGCATTCTAAGGTAAAATACTGTATTAAAATAAAATTATTCAACTTACAGCAATAAGTTGGTAAGAATTATTCATCATGGCTATTAACATGTTGAGTAGGACAACCAGAGAGATGACATTGTATGTCCCAAACATGGTGGCACCAACAAACTCAGTGAATTCATGCTGTGCTTTAACATTGGTCACATATAAATTGATGAGCCCAAATATTGACCAAAACAGGGACTGGAGTGTCTCAAATAACCTGGAATAAATGTAAAATGAACTAATAACTATATTAATAGAACCAGTATACAAAGACATAACAGTAAAACTGGAATACTGTTATGTATATAAAATTAATTTAAAAATACATGTCCTCCACTGGGTATCTATACAAAAATTTGAGAACATTTAATCATAAAATATATGTACCATTTGTTCATTGTAGCATTATTTAAGGTGGCCAAGATATGGAAACAACAGAAGGGTCATTTGGTAGATGATTGGATAAAAAACATATGATGTGATATACATATATATTAGAGGCCCAGTGCAAAATATTCATAGACTCAGGGGTGGGGGGTCCCTCAGTTCAGCCTGTGCCCTCTCACAGTCCGGGAGCCCCTCGATCAATCACTCCAAAGAGGTAGGCCGCGCCCACCTGGTCAGGGCTCTGTGATGGATCGCCCCTGCAGAGGGAGACCCCTTCCAACCATCACAGCCTGATGGCGGGTAGCCTGGGCCTCCCTCTGCAGGGCGATCACAGGGCGATGGCCAGGACCCCAACCAATCACATTGCACCCGCCTTGACTGGCCTGGCACCAGTGTGTGTCATAGTGTGATCATCCGGAAGGTTGTCCGGGTGGTCTTTCTGCTATTTAGTTATTTGGTCAATTTGCATATTGCTTTTATTATTATAGCTATTATGAAATACTACTCAGTCATAAGAAAAGATGAAATACTGCCATCTGTGACAACATAGATGGATCTTCAGAATATCATACTAAGCAAAATAAGTCACTCAGAAAAAGTCAAGAACCATATGATATAAAACTGAAAGCAACAAATGAACAAACAAGAAAAACAAACAAAAAATCATAAACACAGGTAATAGTATGGTGGTCACCAGAATGATAAGGAGGTAGTAAAGGCTAAAGAGGATCAAATATGTGGTGTTGGAAAATTTGACTTTGAGTAGAGGACACACAATGCAATATACAGATTATGTATCATAGAAATGTATATTTGAAATTCTATACAATTTTATTAACAAATATCACCCCAATAAATTTAATTAAAAAGAAAAATAAATGCATGAATGACAAAAGAAAAACAATACAGGCCAGTAGTAAAATAAAATTTTAGTGTGATTATAAAATTAAACTTAATAAAAAGAATTAAAAATTTGTTTTAATCATACTAGTGTAAATGGTGTACTTGATTTTCCTAAGAGCTTTGAAAGCTATATTTACTTTTCTAGGTCAGAGATGAAAAATCTGATCCACGGCCTGTTTTTATATGACCCCTGAGTTAAAAATAAGTTTTGCTTTTGCAAACGGTTGGAAAAAAAAACAGAAAAAAGGGTGATATTTTATGACATATGAAATTGTATGAATTCACAATTTAATGTCCATAAACAAAGGGTTTTAATTAGAGTTTATTTATTTTTATTTTTTAAATTTTTATTGTTGAAAATATTATATATGTCTATATGTCCCCTTTTTTCTCCCATTGAATCTTTAGAGCTCACCTCTGCCCCAGGCCACCCTAATGTCTGTGTCCATAGGTTTGGTTGATCTCTTCCACCACCTTCCCCTATTTCTCCCCCGCCCCTAACCCACACCAGCCTTCCCTCTAGGATTCCACAGTCTGTTCCATGCTTCTATTTTTCTGGATCTATTTTGTTTAACAGTTTATTTTGTTCACTAGAGGCCTGGTGCACGAAATTTGTGCACTCGGGTGCGGGGGTCTCTAAGCCCAGCCTGCGCCCTCTCGCTGTCTGGGAGCCCTTAGAGGATGTCCAACTGATAGCTTATAGGCCCGCTCCCCTGGAGAGGACATTCTTAGCGCTGCTGTGGAGGTGGGAGAAGCTCCCACCACTGCCACTGCACTTGCCAGCTGTGAGCCCAGCTTCTGGCTGAGCGGCGCTCCTCCTGTGGGAGCGCACTGACCACCAGGGGGCAGCTCTTACATGAGTGTATGCCCCCTGGTGCTCAGTGAGCATCATAGCAACTGGTGGTTCCACCGATTTGCATATTAGCCTTTTACTATATAGGATTAAATTCCACATATGAGTGAGATCATGTGATACTTGTCTTTCTCTGACTGGCTTATTTCACTTAGGATAATACTCTCCAGGTGCCTCCATGCCATCTCAAAGGGTAAGAGATTCTTCTTTCTACTGCTGCATAGTATTCCATGGTATAAATGTACCACTGCTTTTTTATCCACTCATCTACTGATGGGCACTTGGGCTATTTCCAGATCTTAGCTATGAACATAGGGCTACATACATTCTTTCTGATTGGTGTTTTGGGTTTCTTAGGATATATTTCTAGAAGTGGGGTCACTGGATCAAACTGTAGTTCCATATTTAACTTTTTGAGGAAACTTCATACTGTATAAACAAAGTTTTTTTGAAACACAACCACAGTCATTTATTTATGCATCACCTATTATTTATTTTGTATTGCAGTGGCAGAGGTAACTGTACCAGAAAACATATGGCCCACAAAAGCCTAAAATATTTACTATGTGTCTTTTTCATAAAAAGTTTGTCCCATCTTAGGGCAATTAGTAATAGTTAACAAATAATTGATCCTCAAGCCTAATCTTTGAAAAATGTCATTTCTTTTTCCTGATTTTGCTTTTAGTTGTAAGAGGATTAAGAATAAATTTATTGGCTGGCTGGCATGGCTCAGTGGTTGAGCATCAACCTATGAACCAGAAAGTCATTGTTCAATTCCCAGTCAGGGCATATGCCCAGGGTGTGGCTTGATCTCTGGTAGGGGCCATGCGGCAGGTGGCTGGTCAATGATTCTCTCTCATCATTGATGTTTCTTAATCTCTCTCTTCCTCCCTCTCTGAAATCAATAAAAATATATTTAAAAAGATAAAGTTACCAATATTGGTTTCCACACTGGCTATTTAAGTGCACATAATAAATGCTGAAAGATAGCAGTGTCTGAGAATGCTGAGTTAATAAAATTTGTTATTTTTTTAATATTTCAGAGAACATTTTACTTATTCCTGTCAATGAAAGAATTAGGTGATTTAATTAAAAGTTAAGTTTATTTCACTTACTGCAAGAAATAGAATAAGAGGAAGAATGTCTTGCCGAAACCGGTTTGGCTCAGTGGATAGAGTGTCGGCCTGTGGACTGAAAGGTCCCAGGTTCGATTCCAGTCAAGGGCATGTACCTGGGTTGCGGGCACGTCCCCAGTAGGAGATGTGCAGGAGGCAGCTGATCGATGTTTCTCTCTCATCGATGTTTCTAACTCTCTATCTCTTCCTTCCTCTCTGTAAAAAATCAATAAAATATATTTTTTTAAAAAAAGAGGAAGAATGTCTGAACTTAATGAAGGATTATTTGTTTCAAGAGGACCTTTTTACTACCTTAATATAATGCTATAAAAAGACAAAAGTTTTATACTCTTTGATAAATGGTTACAATAAGTCTTTAGTTAAATTATACTGTAAAAATAAAAAATATCTCATACATAACAAGTACTTAGGATTTCAATCTTTAGTGAGATTGACATTAGTTTGGAATCATGATGTAGGACCAAGTCAATAATGTTTTCTGGCAGCTCTCAGCCCGAGTGACATTATTCCATGTGCACCCTTTCACGCAAGGGCAATCTTTATGTAGGTCTCTGACCTTCCCCACCCAAAGCCACATGGATTAGATTGGTCAAGGTCAAATGACCTAAGCAGAGACATGGCCTAATGTAAAGATGAGCCTAAACAATCAGATTTATTCTCTTAGAGAGTTTATCTTAGAAATATCAAGAGAATGTGGTAGTTGCCAAAGTGATTGAAATGACAGGAGTTATGATGTAAGATCAGGATCACTGGACTTATGAGAAGTCAAAAGTTTAAGACAAACAAACTAAGAAGCAGAGAATTGAGGATGAAAAAGCTGGTACACATGAAAAGAAAGTACACATGGACTAGCTAAATCATGTTAATGTTGGTTCTCATAGTAAAAAGTCCTGTTGTCCAGCACTATGTCAACTCTTGCTTTTCCTGAAGCCAGGTTTTGCTCTAAGTTTGCTCAGAGGATCAAAGGACTGTAATCCTATGTATCATTGTTATAACAAAACTCCTGTTACTTGAAACAATTCATGAGTTACTGGTCTGTATAACCAGGAGAATCTAACTGAGGATGCCTTAATTAGAGTTCATTAGAGTTCTTTTCTCAAATTGATTGCTTTTTAAAAAAAGTAAAGTATTTTATATTTTTAACTAGTGGTCCAGTGCACGAAATTCATGCACAGGGTTTCGGGGGGCAGTGTTCCTCAGCCCAGCCTGCACCTTCTCCAATCTGGGACCCCTCAAAGGATGTCCTACTGCTGGTTTACAGGGATCGGGCTTAAACTGGCAGTCAGACATCGCTCTCATAATCCGGGACTGCTGGCTCCTAACCATTCACCTGCTCTCCTGCCTAATTGCCCCTAACCACTCTGCCTGCTGGCCTGCTCACCTCCAACTGTCCCTGCTGCTGGCCTGCTCACCCCCAAATTCCCCCCCCCCATGGTCATGATCACCTCCAACTGACCACCTCTGATAGCCTGCTCTCCCCCAACTGCTGGTCTGCTTACCCCCAACAGCCCCACCTCCCCATCAGCCTGATCACCCACAACTGCAGTACCATCCTGGCCTGATCACCTACAACTGCCCTCCCCTCTTGGCCTCTAACTGCCTCTACCTTGGCCCCACCACCATGGCTTTGTCCAGAAGAATGTTTGGAAGGTCTCCCAGTCTAATTAGCATATTACCCTTTTATTAGTATAGATAGAGGCCTAGTGCACAGGTGGGGGCCAGTTGGTTTGCCCTGAAGGCTGTCCCTGATCAGGGTGGGGGTCCTGCTGGGGTGCCTGGCCAGCTTGGGTGAGGGGCTGAGGGCTGTTTGCAGGCTGCCCACAGCCCCTTCAGGGTGGGGGGGGTCCCACTGGGGTGCCTGGCCAGCCTGGGAGAGGGCTGACAGCCGTTTTCAGGCTGGCCATGCCCCCCAGCGACCCAAGCTCCCAGCCTCTCCTT